TAGTTAATTGTTTAAATATCGCAGACACAATTTTGAATTTACTGCCTTTCCTGGTATGGCTTTAGACAAAGATGATCTACAACACAACTCAATTACTTGGTTTCACTGGGCCATTTTACCAACATCTCTATTTTTCAGAGGTCCTTTCAGCTCCATTTAAGCAAGATCAGCCAGGGGGCTGGCATACCACCATCACAGCAGAGAACTACAGGGAAGCACTGCCACTGCCCTCCAAAACACTGAGAACGTTTCATGTATCTGTAGCTTTGGCAAACCACAAATTATCCACAGTTCGTGTCTGAAACACCGAAGTTGCTCTGATAATGTTGCCAGCTTCTGAGTATTTCAAAGGAAGTGTGGAAAGAGAAAATAAACGAATTTACAGGTAAATCAGTATATTAAGACAGTATGTTCTCAAAAAAAAAATACATTTGTCGTGGATAGAAGCTTGTGCATTAAAGCAGAGTGAAGTGCAAAGCTCTAAACAATTGAGGTAGTTATTCGAAATTACTAACACCAAAACCAGAACTAGATCTATCAGCTATGAAATATTTGTACCCACTTCTCCTGGAAGGGAGGACTGTACTCTCCCTTTTCCTATAGATGAAGTTTTGGTTTCAGCACTGCAGACCATGCACAGGAATGAAGCTCATTCTGGGAGACTGCAAAAGAACTTCTAAAGCTTCAGAGCTGCTCATCACATGGGTAAACCCTGGGATGTAAAAGTTCGTTTTGAATATCCAGAGTTCATTTCATCAAGTTTGACTATATTCCTCAATCATCAATGAAGACAGTTTTTATAGTCCTTATACATTTTTTCCATTTCTATTTAATTATGTCAAAGCTATTTAGCTTTCAAAATTAGTATAAATTAGAAGATTCAAAGATATTTACCTATGAAAACAAAAAATGTATTATTACATTGAATAACATTAATCACATCTGAATTGTCTAAACCAGAATTTTAGAAGAATTTATTTATCTATAACTTCCAGGACAGCAATCCAAAAACCCATTCTTTGCGGCAGCCATTTAACCTGAGGGTTACTTAAAACTAGTTAACCGAGTGTTATCAGAGATGTCCTTGCTCTGGGAAGCTAGGCATTTTTCCCACCTAAGCTACTCTGAGATGCAAAGTTCAGATGACGTTACATGTAACCGTCTCCAAATTCTCAGCCATATATGCTTGAAATGAGCTTAACACAGGCAAACAGAACCAACTCTGTTCAAAAACAGTACAGGAGGCCAGGGAGATTCTAAGCCTAGTAGCCAGCACACTTAGCTGAAGATAGATCTGGGGCTCTAATCCTCATTTGTGTACCATGCGTTAACTTATACTTCATGTAAACCGGACACTAACGAAACAGAAGATATATCCCATTTTCTAGGTAAGAACTCCACCTAAATTCCTGCATAACATTTAAGCACTATACTTTCACTAGAATCTAGGCACCTAACTATTTCTTCTGAAGACAAGACAGTTACTTTTCAGATTCTACAGTGTCTCCCTAATTAAGTGCCTATAATGCCTAACCCAGTTGTTATATTAGGGGCCTGAAGGAGGAAGTCTGGATCTTAATCAAGCTTAATTTTTAGCATAGCTAAAATCCTCATCAAATTAAGGATATAAGCCAATCACTAAACTGATGACTACAGAAAGAAGTTTCATCAATATTTACTGCATTCCTCTCTTACGTAAATCTGTATTTTTCCAGTTTTTAAAATCACTTTAAATTTTTCTTCAGATTACTAAATGGTTTTGTCTGTTACTTCCTCATACACTCACTACTTGATACTGGTATGGGTTACAATAAACACAATTTAATACAATAAACACAATTTAATGGTTAGCTCAAAAAAATGGTTTTGGAAAGAAATCTTACGTATTAAAGTAAAAGAAATAGTTACAGCCAAAATTACATTACAGTATTGCTAAAGTAAATGATCCCAAAGCAATGTGTGGAGTTTCAAAAGCCTCTGTTCCCTGAATCTATTAAATATAGTACCTATTGTTAGCTACAAATAAACGTAGAAAAGTTTTAAACACTTATAATTTAACAGATCTGCTTTAAATCACAATATTTTCTATCAGTCAAAGGCAAGTCATTATTTCGGCATGCATTAGGAGTTAGTTTAGAAACTCTTCTTTTGGTGTATATAAAAGTATATGCAGAAGTGCTAAAATATTTAGACTATTTTTGTTAAAGTGTGAACTGTTTGAAATATATATAAATTAATCCCAATCATTCTTTATAAAAAGAACTGTCTGAAGAATAAGTAATGCAATAGCTTTAGGCATACAGTCATCTGTAAGTGAATTAAAACTGTACTTAAACTGACACATTTTTCAGCCTTAGTGGTTTTGTTAAGGATGCTTAGAGAACATTAGTCTGAAAAGTATTTGCCATGCAAAAGCTAAAAGCAGCTTGTCAAAACAAACCTCAGGGCTAGTAATGAGCATTAGTTTATAGACAGCCCAGCATGAAGTGCCAGTATGATAGCTTCTGAAATGACTCTAAAATAAGTGAATGATAATTCACAGAAAGTGGCTGTACCTGTCTCTGTTTGTTTAACCCAGACTTACACGGCTTTCAGAAAAGGACAAAACAGAATGAAAAGAATCAACTTAAAGTGACACATCAAAATACATTTGAAGATATAGATGACATGCATTAAAGTAAATTTCATCACGAGAGGAAATTACCGTTAGGATAGAAATGCGCTGCACTGGGATATTTTCATAATGCAATGAAACTTGTAACCTAGACCTTCACAAGACATATTTACTATATGCTCTACAAACGGGCTACTCTTTTTTGCGCTTTACCAAAAAAAAAAAAAAAAAAAAGCAAAACTCTTGCTGTATTTTATTATTTTATTTGCATGAAAGCTTTGCATTATATTTCTGATGGAAAAGCCTGCCTTTAACCTAACATTCTCCTGCCATTTTAAGATTACATTATACCACCAGTGCATCTCAAGTAACTTCAAAACCTTTATATCTAAGCATGCAAAAAAAAGAACTGAAAAGGTACGTTTAAGAGTAAATAACAATAATTATTCAAAGCATAACAATGCCACAATAAAACTCCACAGGAAAACTCCCATACCACAAACCCTCAGTCATGCTCAAACTTTAGAAAAGCACTTCGAGTTTCTTAAACGGTATTCTAGATTTATGTACCGTCCATGCAGTGAGACAAATATTTTAGTTCTTGTTAGAAGAATACACATTATATCTTAAGGCATTATATACTAAAGGCAGTATGAAAAAAATGTATTTAAAACAGTATAATTATACTGCAATGAGCCATATCCTAACAAATCCTAAGTTACAATGCAAACGAAAATATCCAGCTAAATTTATTACGGATTACTACTACTAATGCTAGTTTGACTTAACAGGTATTCGCAGATACTATGAACATACATTGGTAACACTATAATCAAATGACAAACTTTTTAGAAGAGCACCACAGAAATTTCTGCAGCTCCTGTAAGAAATAGCCTAGCAAAGTTACCAGAAATACCTGTTTTGCCTGCACCATAAGATGTGGAAAGCCTGGAATCTCAACTCCAATCCACTTTTATTAGGGATTTAAGCTAAAGCCCTGAAATTTGCAGCAGACCTCCTTGCTGGTGAGCCTACAGAGATGGTTACGCCCAGCGAAAGCACAGAATGGGCAGCTGGAATCAGAAATTTCAAACTCCAATCTCTGTCAAAGCTCGTTTGTCAAAGCCCTGGAAGACTCCACCATTCTGGGACAAATACACTGTCTATTCAGATTCTGGGACATAACACAGGACGGTAAATCTGTCGAGAAAAACCATGAAGACTCTGAGGGGAAAATGAAAAGTACACTAGTACTGTAAGGATTAACCTCACATGACTCAGAGGTCCCTTACAACACGACATGTAAGGCCCACAATCACTTCCACGCTATGTTTTTGTTCATTAGGTAAAGAACAGTTACTCTTGTGGAAAGTTAAACACATATCCTCAGCAACTGCGGTCTGAGACAGCAAAATTTATTACGAACAACAACATTCAAATACGGAAGGTGACAGAAGTCAAATTATGTGTATATATATGGTGACTGCTCTCAATCTATTCGCAATACATTAGAAAGAACATTTCAAACTGGCCCTATTTTTATACCAATGTAAACCCACTGGTTTTCATTAAGCTAATCTAGATTTACATTGACTTTACAAGCCTAGTGCTTAGGACTTGAAATTTCAGAACTCCGTCAGCTCTAACGTCAGACTGAAAACAATGGCAGGGCCCTTGCTTAGTGAGATCATACACAGTACATCATACAACATACACGGTATAGTGCTCTCAATTCTTAGCAAAGATTAAAAAAAAATCCTCCTGAAGTTACTAATGCTTGTCCTGTAAGACTTAAACATTCAAAATAAGGCTTCTTCTCTATGCTACACAGAAGCAATATTGCGACACTTCTGGCTCCTTACCAGACTTGCGTGCAAGATGCAATTTTAATTCTACATGTTCTTCTTTTTTAATCAAACCAGTTACAGACCCTGACGTTCATTAACTATTTCATACAGACTTTTAGTTCACTTCATTGCTTTGCATGCATCAATCCACGTACTAACGTACAAGTACGTGGCAATGATCCATCATGTATAGTGGCAATGATCCATCAAATAAGAGCTAGCTAAATAGCTGGATAAAATTACTGTCCCTATCACTTAAATAGCTGGATGAAATTACTGCAGGCATCATCTGGAGATAATTGCAGTGCCTTAAACACTAACCCTGTTCCCTTTCACAGAAATTTCAAGAAAGTCTGCAAAGTAAGTTTTTTTAAACATAGACGAAACCCTGATGGGGCAGCTTGTAAGGCATGCAAGAATACCCAGTCCCCGCTGACAACATCTTTGTGAGCCACCCAAGAGATTTTCAAAGGACTAGGGATGGGACTAAAGGCATTTCAGAACCTTTCCAGCTTTCCTTACACAAAATACATAAGATGGCCAAAATCACAAAGAAGAGTAATTTATTTTTATAGCGTGGCTCAACTACTGAAAAGTCAATGATCTTATATGCTGTACTACATAGATTCACAATAATAACTAAAGTAGTAATTAAAGACTAGAAATAACTCTGATAAAATCCTTTGTTATTATTTTAACACAAAAAAATTTAGTGATGTAACTCTTGCATTTTCTTACACACAGCCAGCATATCACACAACTTAGATGTGCAGTTTTATATTGTTTGAAACAGCAGGCTGTCTGTGCTTAAGATGCACACTCAGGGCAACGAGCAAAGGCTCAACCAGTTCCAGGGCTGCTGCTGAGACAGATTTCCTCCTTTGCCCTGAGATTCCTGCAATTGTTCCCCACCTTCCAGTCCCATCTCTCCATTCTCATTCACACACACACTCACACACACGCACGCACACTTCCTTCAACCACCACACCAGCACCTTCTCAGAAGTCCTTACGTTTTCTCCTCACACTGACAAGCTGCAAAGGGCTAGGAAAAAGATGGGATGCTTAGATAATGAATCAAAGTCAGGGAAGGCATCAGCATCTCCAAAAATATGCTAAGGGAGAAGTTTACCCCAAAATCACCCCTTCACCCAAGGTAGCTAATGACCCAGGAAAGAGAACTTCAAGGTAAATTCACCACTGTGGCACTGCCCACAGGCGGTTGCTCAGAAGTTACGTGTAACGAAATGCAGCAGTTTGAGAGTTTGTGTGGATTGTGTTTGTTGTGGTTGTTATTCTTTCATTGCACAACAATGGAAAATTTTTTTTGCAATTATTTACTAGAAGAAAAAATAACTGAGGTCAAACTACAACTGTTGCCAACAACTACCGGTAGCGAGCTATTAAGAAAATGATTTAAACTGTATTAACCTTTTGCTCTGGTAGTAAAACACCATAAAGATTTTCCACTGATTTCTAGAGTTACAGTGAATAAGATATCCGTAAAGATAACCATAAAGAAGACATCTTTGCATGAATATTTATGATAAAATAAAGACAAGTCATGGAAAAGAAAGATGTTAGCATTCTGACTTAAGAATAAGCTTATGATCTAGAAATTTTTTGCATTATTTTTATGGAAAGTTCTTTACACTTTATTAACTGCAACAGCATTATGGCACCAACTTAAAAAGCAAGGATCAGGTGAGACAGCTGACTAAAGCAGGAAAAACATACAGGTCAGCTACTTCACTCTAAAATCTGAAGTAATGAATGAGCAACTGTCATTCTTTACTCCATCTAGCTACCACAATACACCTTACTGAAAGCTCTCCACAGCTACAGAGAAAGAAAAGCAGAAAACTATTGGGGAAAAATATAGTACATCATATAAGTGAAATATTAGCTCTTACATTCATTTGCAAACTACATTAGTCTTCAACTACTCTAACTATTTGTCCACCAAAGCCACTGATGCAGTGTTAGTGAACTGCAGTTATGATTAATGCAGACTCATTACTGCTGAAAAAGCAATGAGATGCTAGAATTTCCACACCACATGACTACTCGTTTACCATTGAGGGGTCTGTGGGTGAAGAAAGCCCCTCATCAGCATCCTCCTTGATAACATCCTAACAACAACAAAATATTATGGTTTGGGTAAAATGATTAAGGGCTAAAGAAAAATATGAAGTAAACAATGAATGAGAATGATCTCATAATAATACATAATTCAACGGAAACAACTGTTTTTGTTAACCGAGTTAAAAGACTGAAAAACTTTTAATAGCTTTGTTCAATGCATTAATATTCTACAATTAAAGTAAATGACAAATGAGGCTTTTACTTTCTTAGCTTTCTTTAGTTCCTAATCCCATTTGAACAGCAATCTATGTCAACAGAATAAATACTCTTACAAGGAATTTCGTTCACCTAGAAAAGTGTGCTCATTCTTACTTTTTAACAAGTAAATAAAGTTGAATTAGATGTACTTACAAGACAAAGCTACAATTGATGCATACTTCACATAAAATGTATTTTGTTTTACTTGAACATTAAAAATATTTAATTGCTTACTTAGGCCTTCCAATTTCTAGTACTCTTTGCCAATTCAAAGGATGCCATTTTACCTTTTCCAGATAATGCTAGATACTCTGCGTTACTGTAAAATTAACATACAAGTGGCATTCTTTTTCTGTATCAATTTATTTACTGTACCACAGTTGGCACTGCCAACAAAATATTTTCCTGCCAACCCTGCATGTCGTACTCCTCTAATCTTGTTACCTGAAAGTTATAATCAGTTTTCTTCTGTAAGTAATTGTTAAGGTTAAAAACAAAATACATTTTACATTACGTGTTAGGAACGCCTTTACTTAAACTATTTATAAAATAGAGTTTCTACTTGTCTAATACTGAATCATCATTAATAAGCTTCATTTTGCATTACTCTCTATACTTATTGTCTAGGTTAGTATGTGAATTACCCTTCAAAATACTTACTAGGCCATTGTTCTGATCTCTGGACAAATTCGTTTTTAGTGGTGGACGTGAGATGAGATGAGAACTGCCAGGGTAATACCTTGGCATGTAAAGATATGGGGCAAAGAATGGCTATGGAAAAAAAAATGTAACAAAAAAGGGACAAACAATTACACAAATCAAAATGTAATAATAAAATAAAACTTATTTCAACAAAACACTTCCTCTAGTTGAGTTTAATAAAGTGAAAATTGCAATTACTAGTAGCTTTCTTTACTTTTCGCATTGAACAGAATTTAGTCAGAAGCTCTGAAACGAGGTATTTGAAATCCCTCGGCAACTGACCCCTTCCACTCCCCACAAAGCCAATGGGTGCTCTGGTGTTGGTTTTCCGGAAGAATAGAGTTAAAACATTTTTGACAGTTACACTGTAACATTTGCTTTGAATATGGGAAAAGGATTTACCCTTCTGTTAACTCCACCACCTCGCAACGGCTAAACTCAAAACTAGATGCTCAGTATCATTTATAAAGCTTCCTAATACCCAAGGCAATAGTACAAAAAATGTGTGGCACAGAATGGCACGACCAGAACTTCCCGTATTTGTAGTAACCAATCTGTAGGCTTTTTTGCGTCCACAAATATTAGACGTAACACTACAGTAGACAATAACTGACCTTCGTTTTGTTGGAAATACGTCAATATATGTTGTTCAACAGAAGTATCATTTTAAATGACAATGTTAATTATCATGAACCATCAGCATCAGAAACATTTTTCAAAAAATATTTTTTTCCACCACAAATATTAGTTAACTGTAATTACATTCAAGTCATCAAGTCCCTTTTTATTCCTTTTTACAAACAAATTTCACAAAAACAAACACTGTCCAGGTTTCCAAAAAGACTTCAGAGCATGTCAGTGTTGACAGCCCAAGTGAGAACTTAGGCCACTGACTGTGCTTAATAAAGTCTCTTCTTAAACATATAAGGTTTTTCAAAGCTACTAACATATTTCCATCTGAACAAAGCCAGTTTTCCTCCAGGTGCTACAATAAACTCTGTGCACCTCCCCTGAAATTCACAAAATGAAATCAGCTTTATCTGCACTCCTTTTGTATGTTGGGAATGCTATTCACTGACAGCAAGACAAGCGTGTTTGTGTGTGTGCAAATCATGAACCTCACAACTGGCAATGCAGTTTAAAAAAAGCACAAACTACTTTTCCAATATTGTGGAATTCTATCTTCATCTATCTGTGAATTTTTGAAGTCTGTAAAATTAATACTTATTTTACGCTCATTTTAAATACTTTTATAAGAATACTGAGTTAGGTGTTGAAATAAAGATTTTTTCACTTCCGTTCTTATCTATCGCTTCTAGAACAACACAATGGAGTAGCAATTACAAAGTCTTTAATCTTCAGGAAAAAGAGAATTAAGGAGTTCATTGCCTTTTTTATGCAGTTCTTCAAAAAATATATATACACCTCTGAAACTAAGGATCGTATTACAGATTTCTGGTGTTTTTACACATAGCATTTTTAAATTAGATTATCTAGCTATTTAAAAGAAAAAAAATCCCACAGAATACTATTGGGTCTGTGTTTCTGCACATGACAAGATTCTGAGTGGTCTAGTGCACTGAATTCAGAATAGAGTAAATCATTTCACGACCGGATGGCAAACACCAATCTATGAGGGCGGAGTAAAATTACTTGAAGTGGTACACTCTGGATGTTATCAATAAGGACTAAAAACAACAACAACAAAAAACCCTTCTGTGCATTCAGAAGGAGCGTTAAGTGACCTGAGAAATAAAAGTCCATTTCTTGTGTGCGCCAATTACTTGGATGGCATACGCTACAACTTTGAGTAATTCATGGAAAAGCTCAAATGGTCCTAGCTGTTAGAGGCAGTCTTTGCACTCTCTCCAACATGATTATCGCAAAACACTCACACACCCTTCCAGTGCATGTAGTTACATGATACGTTTTGCAACCCTCAGTCTAAACGCAGAATTCCGCATCACAGATGTTTGGTTGCAGTTTCATGCAAACTTTAAACTAGTAAAACTGCTGGTGGAAAAGAGAAATCAGATGTCTACTCCCACTGCTTATTCTCATCATGTGTTTCATCACCACCCAAATGTTTTGTCCAGTGAACCAGGAAAATAACCCATTTAAACCCCTTTCTTTTTCTTTTTTTTTTTTTTTTTCCTAGCAAAGGTAGTCTTATTGTAGATTACGTGCCCATCCAGAATTACTGTGGGGCCAACGTCACTAATGCCTTTGGCTGCCACAAGGCAGCAGGATGGTTTTCTCAGCTGCGATGGGGGCATATGCAGATGAAAGTTCTCAGGCCTAAACTGCCCTTCATTTTCAGCAATTTTCCCTGGCCTGGGTTATTTTAATAGTGTCTTGAAGCCCAAATAATGGTGGTCTTATTATGGGGCAGAAAATTACCTCTATTAAAACCTGAAAGTTTTTTTTTTTTTTTAAATAGGTAAGAGAATAAATACCTGAGCTTTGGCTTACGCTTACTGATTAGCATAGGATGATTCCAAAAATTCATTGAATTAAATTTAATTTAATGTGATAAGGCACAGATTCTGTAGTATTTTCTAGAAATCTTTTTTTTTTTTTTCCAAAAAAGTTCATGTTATTTTTTAAATAATGAAATGCCTCAGTTTTTCACCAACAGCTCCTCTAGACACATTAAACCATGTGGAAAACCCACAAGCATGAGATGAGTTCAACAATCACACTGCATCGAAGTGCCTAGTTCTCCTCATTGCAAAGACTACCTGCTGAAACACATAGCAAGCACCTGTTTGCTGGTTGCTAGTCATCAAATTACAAAGCAGTGAAAAATAATTGTCCAATAAGGCAATTATCCCACGATTCTTTCATGATTTCTAATTACGTCTTGTAACAGCTTCAGCTACTCCATTACTTCCCACCTGTGGAATTTAGAGGGTTGTGGTGAATAGCGCAGAGT